AATGTCCTTGAAGTAGGGGCCAGCCCCTACACCCCCCCCCCCTTAGGTTTTGGGTTTAGGATTTAGGGTTTAGGGTTTTGGGTTTAGGGTTTAGGGTTTAGGGTTTAGGGTAAAAGCCGCATAGAAACCCTTATAGACACCCTGATCGAAACCCCTTAGAAAAACCTTTAAAGAACCCTTGTAGAAACTCTCCGAAACCCCAATTGACACGTAAACCCTGACCCAAGTGCAAGCCCCTAAACCCTAAACCCTAAACCCAAAGCCCTAAGCCCTAAGCCCTAAACCCTAAACCCTAAACCCTAAACCCTGACCCACGGACTTTCACAGAGGCCCCAGCTCTGAATCGCCGTGGGCGTATTTGCAACCCGCTCCTCTTAGGCATCGGCCCTGTCCACAAAAACAAGGTTTAGGGCTTAGAGTTTAGGGGTTTAGGGTTTGTAGGGTTTGTAGGGTTTGGGGCTTAAAGGTTTAGGACTTTGGGGTTGAAGGCTTAGGGTTTAGGGTTTAGGGTTTAGGGTTTAGGGTTTAGGGTTTAGGGTTTAGGGTTTAGGGTTTAGGGTTTAGGGTTTAGGTTTAGGGTTGAGGGATTACGGGATTGCGAACGGATCTTTAAGGGACCTATAAGGGCTCCATGCTGTGAGCCCTTGTGTTCGCGTAGGGCTTTTAGCGTTCCTTCTAGGTCTCTTTAGGCCCTTGCAGTGTAATAACTAAGGATACTACAAGGTGTAGGGTTTGGGAGGTCGTCTCTTGCCAAGGAAATTATCGGTCCCTACCCTAAGCCCTAAACCCTGAACCCAGTTAGTGCTTAGAGCTTGGCGTTCTTCCGGGGGGTCCTCAACGGATCTTTAGGGGATGCAGAAGGGCCGGCAAGATGACTCCCAAAGCTTTGGAGGGGTTTGACGGCTTTCGATGTTCAAGGGGTTTTTTGCCCTAAACTTGAATCCTAAACCCTAAGCCCTAAAATAAAATCCTAAATCCTAAACCCTAAACTTAAGTCCTGAACCCCAAACCCTAAACTTAAATCCCAAAACCCAAGCCCTAAACATAAGTCCTGAACCCTAAACCCTAAACTTAAGGGTCGGGGTTCCTGTACGGGCTCCTCGAACGGTCCTACCAAGATTCTTAGAGTTTCGGGCTTTGGGTTTAGGATTTTTTTTAGGGGTTTAGGGTTTAGGGCTTTGGGGGTTTAGCGTTTAGGGGTTTAGGGGTTTAGGGGTTTAGGGGTTTAGGGGTTCAGGGTTTAGGGCTTCGGGGGTTTAGGTGTTACGGTAGGGTTTAGGGTTTAGGGTTTAGGCTGCTTTCGGTTCAGGACGTTAGGATCTGGGTGTGGGTTAGGACTTTGAGTGGTGGGTTTACAATACGGGATTTTGGTTGCAGGGTTTCGGGTGTTAAATTAGGGTGTACTGCTTACATAAGGGGAAAATGCATCTGCAAGAGCAACCAAATTCACAAAAACGCGGATTCGGGTACTAACAAAGGTCTCAGCAATATGGGAGTTTCCAAAAATAGGGGGTGTATTTTGGGGTCCTTATAATAAGGATCCTATTATTTAGGGTACCATATTAGGGTCCCCTATTTTCGGAAACCCCCATATTGGCAATACTGAGAATCATAACGCACTGTAATGTTCTCGGCAGCACTAGCACTGCTCCTCGGTCTTCGGAAGGTTCAAACAGTGCTAAATGCTTCGTCATTGTAATCAATCTGGGTTTAGGGCTTAGGGTTTAGGGTTTAGGGTTTAGGGTTTAGGGTTTAGGGTTTAGGGTTTAGGGTTTAGGGCTTAGGGTTCACGGTGTAGGAACTGGATCTTCAATTCTTCGAAACACTGATCAGCGATGTGCAAACACACGGCTTGGGGACAACCCTTTCGAGGGCACCAGTAAACACGAACTTACTTACGACGCCCCATGAACATAGTGCAATGTTTGGGGTGGTTCGTATCCCGGTCGAAGTAGCCGTGGTGCACGCAAACGTTTTTTGCGATGATTCCTGCCACTATTATAAGCGTAAACACACTTCGCTAGATTGCCAACATCAAGACTACCAAGAAAAGTGGGATCACGATTGCTGCTACTGTTACCGCGACTGGTCTCGCAGTCGTAGGCTTGAAGATGCCCTAGTTGTGATTCTTACGGAGGCTTGATCTTTGGTTCAATACTACTACTAAGCTAATACCGGTGTTGTCATTTCCATTATGTGATATCTATACGAGTATTCGGATGAAGCTTTATACAACTCCTGGTCGTATACTTACTGTACTAATCTGCGATGTGGTTGGAGCACCACATCAATGAATCTAGCAGATGCTGTTTTTCGCCTTCATAGCAAGCAACATGGAAGCATGACACTGCTCAGTGCCCTCCCGCAGACTTCCTGTCGGCAAAGATGAGGAGATCTTGGCCAACGTCTGTGGAGGACTGATACTTCTTCTTGAAGTGCGCCCGAGTCCAGTGCTGCATGTAGTCCGCAAAAACAGTCTTAAACATAGAGTCGTCGACAGGATCGCTGTGCTCCATCCAGACGACATCGAACGCCTTGCGAAACAAGGAATCAAGCGTGCCCCTAACGCATTGGGAATCATACGTCTGGCAGCCTTGCTCGCCTGCTAGAAGTTCGACGACATAGCTTAGCTGACTGTCGTCCATGGTGGTGGTCGATGTCTGCAAAGTGAGTCCTCGAACTTGGTCCTTGGCCTCATGCTTCGCTGGGCCAGAGCGGACTGCTGAAGCGCTCCACGATGAGATGGACAGCAAGAGCATCAAGGACTTCAACATGATCAAGAATCGGGAGGGCTTGGAATCAAATCTATGTGGATTGAGCCGACAATGCTACACAAGATGTCATCCGCTGCACAAGTTGGACTGCTTTCTGTTACCGCCGGTTGCCGAGATTGTTTGTAGGGAGTATATTTCAGAGGATCTTATTGACGAACATATTTCTGAGACCCTAAACCCTAAACCCTAAACCCTAAGCCCTAAACCCTAAACCCTAAACCCAACCCAGGCCCTTAGGAGGGGTGGGACATGGGATCCGGACTGTTGCGGAATACACATTTGCTGGACACACTTCTTGAGCAGCGCAGTGTCGTGCCGCGCCCAGGCAGCGGCGTTGTTTGTTGAAAAGTCGCAAAAGGAGCCATTAAACCCTAAACCCTAACCCCTAGCCCCTAAACCCTAAACCCTAAACCCAAACCCCTAAACCCAAAACCCTACACCCTAACCCCTAAACCCCAAACCCTAAGCCCCAAGCCCTACCTTGTGCTCGACAAGGATTACCCAGGCATACTCGACAGACATGTCCGGGGGACTGTCTAAGGAACCCCACAAGTATTGCTGACACGACCGCCATGAACTTCTTGATTAGGTTTAGGGCCTAGTTTAGGGTTTAGGGTTTAGGGCCTAGTTTAGGGTTTAGGGTTTAGGGTTTAGGGTTTTAGGTTTAGGGTCTATTCCGCAACATACGGGCCTCAATAGTTTCAATAGGCTTCTTCGGTATATGTTGGTATGCTTCTATCGGATTGAAGGTTTTAGGGGGTTGGTTTCGGAGTAGATGTCATACATATATACATATATATATATATATATACATATATATACATATATATACATATATATATATATATTCTAAACTGCATAAACCATGTCGATGCACATCTATATTATATATATATATATATACGCATACATACATGTAGGAGCTATAAAGTTACCTAAAGTGCAGCAGCTGGATTCAGTAGTCAACTGAAACATCTGCAAGTCAGGCAAACTGACCGATGCCCCTCGACACAAACTCCTGAACTCCAAGCCCTAACTTAAAATCCCTTTGTCGGGTTTAGGGTTTAGGGTTCCTCTAAGTCCTAAACCCCCGAACAACCGAAACCCTAGAAGCTTTGAAAACCCAAAGACCCTGAAGCCCGTAGTCTGGACCCATGCCTCTTGCCAGAATGCGCAGATCTTCCTCAGTGTTTAGGGTTTAGAAGTTAATGTTGGCGCCTTAATAGTTAGAATAGGGTTTGGGGTCTATTATACTATAATTATCATAAGGAACTCCCAAAATAGTACTTATTGAGGCCCCTATATTTGAGTTAAGGAAGGTCCTGGTGTGTATAAGGCCTGACAGAAGGGACAGAGATCTGAGGTTTCTTCGATTATGGTAATGTACGAACCGGCTTAAGAAACCCTGGGTCGTTAATAAACCCTAAACCCTAAACCCTAAAGCCTAAACCCTAAACCCTCTTTATATGAATCCTAGTATATTGGGGCTACATGGCCAGGGGTTCTTAATCAGGCTCCTACATTATGACGAGATGGGACCAGAAGAGGATACTGTTATTCAGACCTCCATATTAAGGCACACCCCAGAGAGTTGGAACATGGGTTTCAGACCGGTTTCGGAGGATTAGTGCAAGAATCCCTTCTACTTTACCTTACAGGCGTGAGGATAATGATGTTCCAACTTTCTGGCTTCTACTGTAAGGCATGAGGGCTACGGAAGTAAGGCTTAACCCTAAACCGTAAACCCTAAACCCTAAACCCTAAACCCTTAAGGCTTTAGG